CAGGAAAAGCCTTGGCCTGAACCCACTCCAGTTCCAGCCCTGCCACCAAAACCACCTGGGCACATGCTGTCTGTACGGATACACTCTTGCACATGCCTTAAGGACTGGCAGAGGTAACTGTTTGGCCTAATTCATAGAAACTAACAAACAAAATGAGAAGACAAAGGAGTTTGTTTCAAATGAAAGAACAAGATAAAACCCCAGAGAAAAATCCCAATAAAATGGAGATAAATAATTTACCTAATAAGGAGTTTAAAGCATTAGTCATAAAGATACTCACCAAACTCAGCAGAAGAACGGAGAAACACAGTGAGAACTTCAATAGTTAGAAAATATAAAAAAGAATGAATCAGAGCTGAAGAATACAAGAACTGAAATGCAAAATAGACTAGAGGGAATCAACAGCAAATCAGATGATTCAGAACACTTAAGCAACCTGGAAGACAGAATAGTGGAAATCACCTCTCTACTAGAGAACTTCTGGATAGCTGGGACAAAAGCTTATTTCATTTTGATATCCCAAGCATTTAGCACCAGGCAGATGAATGCTGTGAGTGAATAAATGGAAAAAGAGAAAAAGGAAGGGCCCCCAATACTTGAGGATCATAAAATGTTCTCTGTTCTGCTGTAAAATTCTTCTCTTTTTGAGTGGTGCAATACACAAGGACTAGAGGCTTTAAGCTGTATTCAGTACAACATCTGGAATATCCTGAGAGGAAATAAGGTAGCTATTTCTATATGACAATAAAATAAGAAGCTCTTTTTAAAAAGAAAGGAAGGAAAATGCATATTTTTATCTATAAATTAAATTTCCAATGGCAATCAGTTATTATGTCACTATCTTTTTACTTAAAAAAATCATCACTTTTGAAAGAGGTGGAGCAAGGTAGAAGGAGTTTTTTGAAAAAATAAAGTCCATTATTTGACACAGCTCAGTTGGATAACTGGTCATTCATGTTTCTCACAAGGAGTCCCCAAGATAACCTCTGTACTTTTAAACTTTGTGTTCTTGGCCTGAACTCTGAAAATTATTTCTGTTATCCTGACCAAACATTCCCACTACAAGCACAATAGAATGACTTTCTCTACAAATATACGCATATTCCTTGCTATTTGAACAGCATGTTCTCCCTTGAGAAAATAGTCATCTCTATATGAATAAATTGATTAGTTAAGTCCATACCACTCCAACTTTAAAATAGCACCAAAGGCTATATTTTCAACACTCAAAGATAAGGAGTTTTTGATTTAAGTGTTGAGAGGCCCTTCAAAGCATTTGCAATAGCAGAATAAGTCAAATTATTTTGTATGATGAAGAGCTCCTTTGGCTAATGATTGAGAAGAAGTCAAAATAGTTACCCACTAGTTTAGGTAACCCAAAAGGAACAAAGAAAAAGAGAACAAGTCTCTCAGTTTGGTGCTTGGTGGTTATGCTGATAAGTTGTCTGTATAAATGTCTGTGTATAACTTGTCTGACTAAAAGGAGGGTCACTGTCTTCAAAAGTTTTAAAAGTAATATAGTTAGCTTCTAATCAACATGTAAAATTTACTTTGGCTGTAAGTAAAAGCATATAATGGGAACAAAATTATCAGAGTACAAATAGTCACAGTTCTCTCCGACCACCCAACTCAACCCCTTAGAACTCAGTGCTGAGTCTGGCCTTAAGTCAAGAACAAGAAGATCTCCCTTTATTCTAGTTAATATGGAGAAGGTTATTGTGGTTTGTCAGAGAGAATATTGAGTTGAACAATATTCAAAAGGAGATAGTGAAAAGCACAAGGTAAGGAAGATGGAATAACAGTTAAGCCAAAGGCAGACAAATAATTTCCATACACATTGCAAAGCTCCAGTACTGCCCAACTCCAAGGGCAATGTTCTCAAAGAATAAATTACTGGTGCCTGCCAGAATCATACACTATGTTTCCCCTAAGAACTTTGCCTGGTGAGGATATATGTAATCATGGTCAAGACAGTAAATGCTACATCTGACAGGAAAAAGTTTGAATGGTGACAAAGTCAAGAGTTTAGTGGTTTTAGTTGCTCCTGTAGACATAGTAGAACATTGGCAGACTGCAGTAGAAATTTCTGATTTGTCTGGTGAAAATGTGGTTCTTGTAATTCTTTTTTAGGTAAAACACTAAAAATTTATTTTAAAAGCTCTGAAACTGGAGAGTAAGAACCATTGAATTTTAGCAAGAAAATTATTTGATGTAGCAAATTCAGTGACCACCTTGGGCTGAGTAATTTAAGAAAAGGCCAAAGGCCTTTCTGCTTAAAGTGTCACCCAGGCCAGCCTACTATAGGCCATTCCACCCATTGGAGTCTAATGTTTGGTTTTAAAATTAAAGGATCTTTTGATAGTAAAGGTATTGTTTTCCCTCCATTCTTTGTTTATTTCAATGGTCTTGTTTCAAAAAATAAGGGAAAAAGTTGAAAATGCTTTACATCCACAGGAAAACCTGCACATAGATGACTATAGCAGATTTAATTATAATTGCCAAAACTTGGAAGCAATCAAGATGAACTTCAGTAGGTGAATAGAAAAATAAACTGTTGTACATCCAGACAATGGAGTATTATTCAGTACTAAAAAAAGTGAGCTATTAAGCCATGTAAAGAGATGGAGGAAATTTAAATTTTTAATTTTTTATTGACATATAGTTGATTTACAGTGTTGTGTTTGTTAGTTTCTGGTGCATAGCAAAATGATTCAGTTGTACACATATATATTCTTTTCCATAGTCTTTTCCATTATGGCTTATTATAAGGTATTGAATATAGTTCCCTGTGCTATAGAGTAGGACCTTGCTGTTTATCTATTTTATATATAGTAGTTCGTATCTGCTAATCCCAAACCCCTGATTTATCCCTCCCCCTCCACCTTTTCCCTTTGGTAACTGTAAGTTTGTATCCTATGTCTGTGAGGCTGTTTTTGTTTTGTAAATAAGTTCATTTGCATCATATTTTAGATTCCATATATAAGTGATATCATATGGTATTTGTCTTTCTCTGACTTACTTCAGTTAGTATGATAATCTCTACATCCATCCATTTTGTTGCAAATGGCATTATTTCATTCCTTTTTATGGCTGAGTAGTATTCCATTTTATATATATAATATATATTATACTATATATATATACCCACACCCCACACTTTCTTTATCCAGTCATCTGTTGATGGACTTTTAGGTTGCTTCCATGTCTTGGCTATTGTAAGTAGTGCTGCTATGAACATTGGAGTGCATGTATCTTTTTGAATTAGTGTTTTCTCTGAATATATGCCCAAGAGTGGGATTGCTGGATTATATGGTAACTCTATTTTTAGTTTTTTAAGGAACCTCTGTACCATTCTCCATAGTGGTTGCACCAATTTTCCCACCAACAGTGTAGGAGGGTTCTGTTTTCTCCACACCCTCTCCAGCATTTATTATTTATAGACTTTTTACTGCTGACCATCTGATTGATGTGAGATGATACTTCATTGCCATTTTGATTTGCATTAAGTGATAGCAGAACTTTAAATGCATATTACTAAGTGAAATAAGCCAACCTGAAAGGCTACAAAATGTATTATTCCAGCTATATGGACATTCTGGAAAAGGCAAAACTTTGGAGACAGTAAAAAGATAAGTAGCTGCCAGGGGTTGAATGAGGAAAAGGATGAACAGACAGCACAGAGGATTTTTATGGCAATGAAAGTACTCTGTATAATACCACAATGGTGGATTCATGTCATTATACATCTGTCCAAACTCGTGGAATACACAACACCAAGAGTGAACTGTAATGGAAACTATGGACTGTAAGTGGTTATGTGTGTCAATGTAGGCTCATCATTGGAACAAATGTACCACTCTGGTGGAGGATGTTGATAATGGGGAGGCTATGCATGTGTGGGGGAAGAGACTACACAGGAATTCTTCATAGCTTCCTCTCAATTTTGCTGTGAACCTAAAACTACTAAAAATAAATTTTATTAAAAATGAGTTACAAATGTACATGAAATATTTTCCAAAGTACATAAATTGGACGCAGAAAAGAAAAGTTAGGCAATAAGAATACAACAGTGAAGACATTAAGCATGATAATACTGCTATTGGGGAAGGCCAAGCTATTGAGGCATGATAGTATGTAGGCAGAAGCCTACTTACCATATAGCAAATCATTGGGCCTAGTGGCCAGTCCTTTTGGTTGTTCTTGTTACTGCTGCAGGCACTACTTTATAGTATTGCATTTGAAACAACTACTTTGACAAAATTCATATATAAAAAATTTCAACATAAAGAAAAATAGCAACTGCCATTAATTGCTACCTTAGCATTTAATAAGCATCTACTAGGTGCCAGACACAGAACTAGCATTTTTACCATCCTCATATCCAATTCTCATAACAACTCTAACAACTAGGCATTAAAATCCACAGCTTGCACATGAGGAAACAGAAGTTCACTGAGGATACCGGAGTGCCTAAGTTACATCCCAAGAAATGGTAGGGCTGAAACTCTGCCCTTTATTATGTCAGGCTGTTCCCCTGTAAAGAATTTCTTTTTGTGCACGTGGTTCTCTATTCAATGACTTTGTTTCTTTACTAAAAAAAATGAATAATGGGTAAGTACTCACATTTTAATGTAATTAAATTTTTAATACCAAAAACACAAACAGAGCAGTAAAGGCAAAAAAGAAAATAGTGCAAATGATGCCCAGATTATAGCCGTATAAACCAGCAAACCAGGAGCGCATCAAACAAGCCTAGAGGATCCCAATAATTTAAGATTTTGGTTTTATGGCCTTGAATTACTGAAACTATTATTATTATTATTTTAAATTCCAATTTTAATCCCAATTGTGTTTTTTGAGCACTTAAATAGACTTTAACTCTAAGAGCAGTTTCATTTCCACAAAAAAAGCTGAGTGGAAGGTACAAACAGTTCCCACAGCCCACAGTTGCACCAGAGTGGTACACGGTGTACTATTTTAATAAATTATAAGATACCTCCTTCCTCTCCATGGAATTTGTTGAGTATGGGTTCATCATGTTCTTATTCCCTAAAAAGTAGTTAAAACATAAAGAGTCTCATATATTCAACATGTAAGATGAATCCAAATAGCCCATTCCCAGCCATTTCAAAAAATAAAAATCGTACCTGACACTTGCTGAGTGTGTTTTATTGTCTGTGCTCCTCTGTGCACTTGACTTGTTAATTCATTTAATCTTGACAACAACACTGTGAGAGAGGTACTCTTATTACCCTCCATACTACAGATAAGGAAACAAAAATCCAGAGCGGTTAAAATACTTGTCCAAGATCACAGAGCTAAAAAGGGAATAACCAGGATTCAAACTCAGACAGTCTGACTCCAAAGCCTTCACCCCGTATACCTCAGTGGGGATCTATTGTCATTTGGGGTGGCATAATCCTTGATTGGATGGGAGTGTCCCACCCAGTGCAGGACACTGAGCCCTCCTTCCCTTCTCCCATTACATGCCAGTAGCAGCTCCCAAGCACTGTGACGATCAAAAGTGTCCCCCAACCCCCAGCTCCTCCAAGCATCCACTTGGGAGAGGAATCGTCTAGGTTAAAAATACCATAATCCTTATTCTGCAGGCAATACTACAGCTCACTGAGGGTCTGTGCACACATACACACACACACACTCACACTCTCCAGTATACATATACATATTCACATACATATACACAACTAAGATTTTCCCTCTAGGGAAAAAAATGCTAACTGAGTTAAACACTTTCTTACTCATTTTACTGTCTCAACAAACACTACCTTCCCTCCATCCCTTACATATAGGGCAGGATGAAGAAAAGACAAGGAAAAGAGACTGAAAACACAAAAATTAAAGTTAAGGAACAGAAGTGGAGAAAATCAGAAATCAAATAGAAGACAGAAGAAAAATCGTTCTCTCTAGTACCTACTGAGATAGGAGTTAGCTGCTCCTAAGTCATTGACTAAAATAAAAGCAGTCAGAAAATGAAACCCATTATCTGACTTGACTTCCCTCAAAATGTATTTCTGTATTTAGAGAACCACTGAATTTCAGAATGGAGATGGCCCAGCAGATAACTACAGTGCACACCCCCACCAAATGGAAGAATGCCCCCTACCACTCCTGTGACAGATGGCCACGCAGCCTCTGCCACATGTCATCTCCAAGAGTAGGCAGATCATTATCTACTTTTAGAAGGAATACATGTCTCTTTTGTGTAGTACTAATTGTTAGAAAGTTGTTCTCATTTAGAACAGAAATCTGCTACGCCTCGGCCTCATTTCTACCCTCTGGAACCATATGGAATGAGTTAAATCCTTCTTCCACAAGATCTCTCTCCAAAATTTTGAAGCAGTTATGTTGCCCCAAGTCTCCTCTTACCCAAAATAAACATATGCAAGACATATGATACGCCCCCCTCTAATCAGTATACCTGGTAGCATGACCAGTGTCCTCAGAAGCCCTGCTTCACTTCCTTCTCAATAGTAATCCTTTTCTTGGAGAGCTCAAAATCGGCACATCTGGTGTGTATTTGTTTGGGTGTGCTCTGTGAACTCTGTACATACATATGTGTATAAATATGAATATGTACACACAAGCATCAACCGCACATGGAGTCTGTGTGTTTGCATATAAATATATAGACACATATGTATGCACACGTGTAAAACATAACATTGCTCATCTTTTCTCTCAAGTGTTTCTTCTTTGCAGGGCTCCAGTCCAGTCCCAATTCGTGGGGAGAGTTCATTTATTTCCAGGCTTATTTTATCCCTCTGGAAATAAAGTGGGGGACTTTAGGGGTATATTTACATTCCTTAGTTCAACCACGAGTGGAGGCTTGCAAACTCCTGTCTCCTATGTGCCCAGCCTTGAGTAGTTAGTTAATCCTCAGCTTCCAAGGGTCAGGAAAACACTTAGAATTCCACATCAGAGAAGCTGAGAAACTCTGAAAATATGTGATCATGTAAACAAAAGATCCTGTGATAATTGCGGGCCTGACATTCATCTAAACCTATTTGTCTTTTCCTCTTTTAGTTTCATTTCCAGTTAAGTATTTCTTCCACTGTTTCTTGGTTAGTTTATCACTTATCCATTTCCTATCCTATTTTCAGAGAGTAGAAAAAATTCTTCTTTGATATGGAGGAAAATGTCCAAAGGGCCCTGAGTTCAAATCTCTTTCATTTCTCACATTGTGATTTGAGTTTCACAGTTCAGTACTTTAGCAAACCTCAAATGCAAGGGTTGTTTCCAGGTTATAACGTAATTGGATCCAAAGTCATTGTCATCCTTTCATCCCACAGAAAGCTATTTTGATCGTGCTTGCTCCTGGGGGCAGGAACCGAGTTGGAGGTGGTGGGAGGGAGACATGAAGCAATTTCTAGCTCTTTCTGAAAGGATTTCATTTCATCCCACTTCTTCACAGCACATGAAAAGTGCCCTCAAGTTCCTTTCATAGTGCCTACGGCTTACCCTTCAACGCTTCTTTTTCTACTCCTTCTCACCTCTTCCTTCTCTTCTCTTTGTTAAAATGGAGGTCGTGGGGAGAACAGAAGAGTTCCAGTGTGGGACAGATAAGAAGAGGACGAAGAGTCAGGACACATTCCAAGGGCATCACTGGTGTAGCACCTGGAATTGGCAGATAGTCCCAGCTAAGCGTGTAGGGTTCCTGGAGGGGCAGGGCAGGGGGATGGACACAAAATTCTTGTTTCACTTCACCTGAAAAATTTGCTGTGACCACCCACCTAAAGAGACTCACCCAGGTCTTCATTCTCTTAATTCAAGACTTGCATATGAGTCACTGAAACATTTAAGTGGGTGATAGAGTGCAGGTAAAGATGAATCCAGTTTCTACCAAAAGAGATGGAGGAGGGATTTTTATATCATTAGTAATAGATTTTCAAAGGATAAAGCCCCTAACTTGCCTGTGGTCATTAAAAAATCTCTCCTTCCAATAAACGAGCAAACAAACAACAAAACCCTAGTACCTACTCTACTGCTTCCTACTCTAACCTGTAGAAACTCTGCTAATGCCTTGAGATCCAACCATTTCACTTCCTATAGGAAGTATCCCATGACGTCCTCCTCCCCACCAAGCTGGTCAGAAATCATCATGACATTTCTGCTTCCCATCACTCTTTGTCACTCTGCCTCCTGGATGCTGTGGGACTGTCCACATGCCCATTCTGTCCTACTGTCACTCAGTGTGTTTTCCCCCGCATTAGAGGCAGTGCTTTAAATGCCAGCAGGACTCTCAAAGCTGTCTGACAGTTCTTGCTCCTGTTCTGAGTTAGCATCCCTTCTTTCTCTTCATAACAACTGATTTTAACCTTGACTTAGTGCCTTGACGCCCTACCCACCACTCTCAACTCTTTACTGTCTGCCTTGTACTTACATAAAATAATCCGAAACCACTGGGCACAAACTCCCTGAACCTTCCTTCCTTCCCCCTCCACTCATCCTTATCTGCCCTGGAACAGAGATAATTTCACAATGAAACGTGCCCCTAGTCATTTCTAAAATGAATTAAGTAGTCCACCTGTGTTCTTAAACCTATTTCCTGTCTCCTCTGGAATCTGATAAGGCTTTATCCCCTCTTTATCTTTAATCTTACCACCTCTATGCCTTAGTCTTCAAAAACATTTAGGTCTATTCCATCCGCAAATACAAGGCAGTCTCATCAAGCTACTGATTTAGCCCTTTTATTTCCCTGTTTCTAAGAAAATTATACAATAAAAGCATTTATTTATAAGAGAGATATAATTTATAAAAACTATTCACCTATTTACAAGAAAATTTTATTACAAAAGTATGTGTTTATGAGAGACATTATAGTGTAGTGTTTGCATTTTTCTCAATGAGTGATGTCACTCTCAAGGGGACAAGAATTGGTTCTTGAGGGGCAAAAAATTCTAAACCATCACAATGGTTTCTGGCCTTCCAAATCTCAACGCTACTTGACAAAGTAGTATTCCTTAGCATTTAAATTCTCTCTCTTTAGGGAGAGTTGTGATTTAATGTTTCTCTCAGGGAGTGGGATGTGATAATGAGAAAAAGATTGGGAAATACTGGTGTAGAGGATCCAGAACTCTTGTGTTCACATCCTGAACCCACCACTCCTTGACTGGTTGTGTGACCCTCAGCAGGTTACTTAACCTCATTGCACCTCAGTTTTCTTACCTATAAATTGGATTTGATTTTAAGAAAAGTCGATTTTAAGAAAAGACTACCTGAGGTAATACAAGTAATGTCATGACTGTTAGCCCACTCTTTCAGCCCACTGAATCACATATACAGTACATTAGCTAAGAAATCTGACCCCTGCCTACCCCTTCAAATTCGTCTCTTCCCACTCTCCTGCTCACTCATTCTACTCCAGCTACACTCACATTCTTACCAATTCCCCAAATGTCAGGCTTGCTTCCAATTTCGGTCTTGACTTTTTCTGCTTTTTCCATCTGGAATCTTTTCCCCCAGATTTTCTCCTGGCTTACTCACTTACTTTATTCAGGTTTCTGCTCAGATGTTCCCTGATTTATATTCCCATTTTTCTCTCCTCATTTCCATTAATTCTCTCACTAGCATTCATCACTACCTGAAATTATATGTTTTTGTCTGTTTATTTGTTATGTGTGAACTACAAAATGATGGAAGCTTTTCTGGTTTAGTCACTCTTGTATTCTTGGTGCCATTGAACACTGTGAAAAGTAATACTGACCGAGGACTAGGCTGTAAGGATACAGTGGTGAATAAAATAAATACAGTCTTTGCCTTCATGGAACCTAAAATCTAATGAGGGTCAGACATTAAATAAGAAAACATACAAATTAATGTATGAGATAACCAAAATTGTTAAAAGAAAAGCTATATTCTTTCTATTCATTTTCTTACTCTTTTTAGCCTCACAACTCTTTAAATGATTTACTTAATGTCATATACAAAAGTTAACACAAAATCAATCAGTTATCTAAATAAAAGAGCTAAAATCATAAAAGTCTTAGAAAACATAGGAATAAATCTTAGCGACCCAGGTTTTACCAAAGAGTGCTTAAATATGACACTGAAAGCATAGGCAACAAAAGAAAAGAATAGACAAATTGTACTTTTTCAAATTTAAAAACTTACGCATCAAAGAACATTATCAAAAAGTAAAAAGAAAAGACAATCTGCAAAATGGAAGAAAATATGTACAAAATCATATGTCTAATAAAAGTCTAATATCCAGAATATATTAAGAACTCCTACTGTTGCAGAAAAGTGTGTTACAGTTCAGTATAGCTCAGTGTTACAACTCGGTGTTACAGCTCAGTTGTGACAGCAACCTGGATCTGGGCAAGAGACCAAGCAGTCTCGGAGAGTTGGGAGAACTCAGGTTTATTACACCAGTGGGCCCAGAGTAGTTAACATTCCAAGCTCTGGACCCCATCTGTAGGTTTACACAAGCTTTTATAGGCTGCCAATTTACACTTTGCAACATCATATGCAAATAAGGTATAACAAAAGATGACTAATTAGGAACAAGCTTTATAGAAATGGACCGATCAGGAGAGAGAGAAATAACCAATCAGGAGTGATAGAAATGGACCAATCAGGAGTGATATAAATAACCAATCAGGAGGGAGCTCCATGCAAATGAAGCACTACAAATGGACCAATCAGGAGTTAGCTCAGGGAACCAAAAGAATTTTTAGGGATAAGTTCCACTTTCCTAGAAGTAAGCCACTTCAGAGGCAAAAAGTGAGAGAAAGCCACTGGGCCAGGGAACCAGATGGTGCTGGCAGGAGAGTATTGGCCCTGCCTGGGGGTCCTGTAAGTCTTTTTCATGGGGCTTCCCACCTCATTACAACTCAACAACAGAAAGACAACCTAATTTTTTAAATGGGCAAAGGACTTGATAGACATTTCTTCAAAGAAGATATGCAAATGGCTAACAAACATGGGGAAAGATGCTCAATATTATTAATCACTACAGAAATACAAGTCAAAACCACAATGAGACACCACTTCACACCCACAAGAATGGTTAAAATAATAATTTTTAAATGTAAGGTAAGAAGTAATGGCAAATATGTAGAGAAATTGACACCCTCATACATTGGCAGTAGGAACATTAAACTATGTGAAAGAAGCCAGACACAAAAGGTCACATTTGGTATGAAATATCCAGAATAGGTAATTTTGTTCACAGGATAGTGTTTTCTTCTTGAATAATTTGTCTTTTTCTAAAATTCAACCCAAAGTAGCATCATTTATCTATACAAAAGGTCATCTGTTGGATAATGTATATGTTGGCTGCTATTAAGGTAAAATTTCTTAATTTATTTGTTTCTACCCATACTTTGTCATTGCTCTGAACATCTTGGGAGCCAAATTAAGAGAGAAAAATAAGAGGAGAAATGTATAGCTGTTGGAGACCACCAGTAGAAATCATTACTGAGTTTCTGAAGACCCAAAGTATTGAGTCTGTAGAGTTGCTTATAATCAGGTTCTACCATCCTTACAGATTCTCAGACTCACCAGGGAAAAGACATGGAAGAGGCTGGGAAGAGACCTTTAACAGGAGCTGTTTCGTGTGTGACATACCTATGGTCATGTCTATTAGTGGCCAAATCAATACTTGAGACCAGATCTAGCAATCACTCTATTTTTTCCAGGGACTTAGTCAACGTTTCTTTCCTCCCTTGTATACTCTTCATGTCTCATTCTGAATTCTATATGAGGAAGAACTAAAGACTAAACTGGAGTGAATAAGTAGGTTTACTTAGAGTACATAAGCCAAGACTCTCCTTTAATTTTTTAAAACTTTTTTCTCTTCTTTTGCAAGTAATTTCTGTTTTGATTAGTCTGGGGAGACGAGAGAGAGAGAGGAAAATCATTGTTCTTAGATCAAATATAGAAGACTCAGGATGTTTTTCAAGCAATGTTTTAAAGCTGTTAAACATAGTAAAGATGTAACAAGTGTTGACTTTTCAAACAGGAGTTTGAGTAAATGCAGCTGCCATTTGGGGTGGGAATGTGGTTGGATAAGACTTAAATCTTATATAAAAAATCGTAGTAAAGTATTTTCAAAGTATTCTAAATTCACACTTAAAACAATATAGAACAATATTATAATACAAACCACTTATCCATGACACTGAAAAAAAATCTTACTTTATTTTGGAAGGTGGGTCCTAAATAGCTGTGATATGTTGACAGTGCTCTACCCATTGTAGTTTTAATCTCACTGTGGGCAGAAACAATGTAACCTACCTCATACTTTGGGCATGTAGGGAGTTCTTACTGAACAATTGTTTATTGATTGAATCCATAATAAAAGGAAATAAGAACAGCAAGGAAAAAATAAAATGCTCAGATGTACTTCTTGTCCTATTGCCAAAACCATGCTAGTCATCAGTCTTCTCTTCAATTGTTGGGAAGAACGCGTATGTTGTCTCCTACATGCACCCCACACTCCAATCACAACAAAGTATCAGCAACAGTACTAACGGCACTGACTATCATTTACAGAGTGCATTCAAAATGACAAGAACTTTAAATAATTTTCTCTAATCTTCACATTAATCTGCAAAACAGAAATTATTTCCCTTTTTATTGTTGAGTAAACACATAAAATGAACTGACTTACAAGGTCCTACAGCTAGAAAAGTGGTCCTGCGTGATATTTAAGCACATAGACTGTAGCATCAAACACTCATTTATTTAAGATCCAGCTTCTTCCATCCCCTCTTCACCTCTCTTTTTGGTTTCAATTACAAAGTAATAGTTATCATTATCATATCTTCTCCACTGAATTGTTGTGAAGGTTGAGTGAGATTCAATGGAGCGAGCTTAGCAAAGAGTTTGGGGAATATCGGGTATATACACACACACACACACACACACACAAGCCTGTGTTTCCATAAGGTACTATACTCTTAGAGACTTGTGCTTCTCATAAGGTACTATACTCTTTCTTCACTTCTATGTTTTCACTAATTTATCTGCCTTTAACCACCCAACTATTTCTTTTCTCAGACCACAGTATGAACAGAGATAATTATGTTCTTATTCATCCCTCAAATCTAGGGACAGCTTCTCTGAAAATCGTCCATGCATCCGAAAACTCTGCTACTTCCCCCATAGAATTCCACGGTGATTCTCTTGTATTACTTATTGTGTGTGTGTATATGCCTAACTGTGTCAACTGATAGGCTGTGAAATCTCAAAGACAAGAACCATGTCCTTTTATTCAATATGCCTCGACACCTAACACGGCTTGACCAATTGGACATCTTCAACAAATATTGGAAGGATGGATAAATCAAGGCAGGGATGTGTGGAGAAAATGGCCAAGCTACCAGTGCTGCCATCCATGTGGATATTACAAATCAGAGTGAGCAGATACTGAATGAAAGGAGGAATTAGATTCAAGAAACATGTTACCATAGCTGCATTTATCTGGGTTCCCTCCCTTGGGCAAAGTACAAACTTAGAGGCCAAATTCAGAAAGCAATGCATATGTATAGAGGATTCCTTCTTACCTTCCTAAGACTTTGGGAGCCTAAGTTTATCTCAAATCAGGGATGCTACACCCCTCTGAACACTAGACTAATAAGTGGCATCACTGTCTGCAGATCACTCAGGATCCTCAAAAAATAGTGCTTCTCAAATTGTATGACTGATGTTTATAGTAGATGAGGTTAAAATGCAGATTCTGATTCAGTTGTTATAAGAATGTCTAGTTATTACTAGGTTTTAATTTCACAAAATTTCTGGCCAGTATTCAAAAACCCCAAAAATAACGCTGAGGCATTTTATTCTAGATCAGGATATCTCAACTTTGGCTGTACATTAGAAAGACCTGGGGAGCTTCTTAAAAATACAGTACAGACCAACTGTCATCTTCACCCCCTTCTCCCATCAATTAATCAAATTATGGGAATTTCTTCGGAATGATTCTACCATAAAACCTGTGGGGGAATCAAGGTTCTACCAGTCCACCAGTGCCGCTCAGAGTCTGGTTCCCGCCCTAGTACAGCCTGCAAACTGTTGTTATGTCTGTGAGGAGATAAGTACCAAAACTTAGAGTGTTTAGAAATATTTACAGCAATATAACTAATTAAGTTTATGTCCACTGAATCGAATAATACGAGTAGATGCACTCATTTAAAACAAAATGTTGTAAGACAAAGAAACATTTTGATACCTGCTTCAAAGAAGACTTCTAAATCCATCTCTGGTACTGAGGTTATACTTGGCCCCTTCTTTAACCTGTAACCTCTCAAAGCAGAAACATTAAGGTCAGTGATTAATTGCTGGGACAAATCATCCTGGGTACAACAGGGTTAATAAGCAGGAATGGGATAGGTGGGGTTACAAACCAGGAACACATGCCCTCCGAGTTAGATAGCTTTCTTTCCTTTTAATTGCCCTGAAAACACACACTCTCACATAACACGGAAGGTGAGAGCTGAACGAAGTTTTCTGGGTAATGGCTTGAAATGTTTTCCTTATGAGAAGTGGTGTTGAGTTACAGCGTGCAGACTGAGAACTGGGAGGAGAGAGAGCAGCAGCCCTAGCCCGGCCCCCACCTTTTCTTGGGCTTGTAGGAAGGTGGACATGGGCTCAAGGAGATAGGACAAGTGATATGTTGAACTGTCCGGTGGCTGGAATCCGCTGCTCCTAGAGTGGCCTAAGAGCAATGTTGAGCAGGGCTTAGCCAGGGGCCAGCAGGAGCAGACACGGATGCTCTGCTGTGAAATGCCACGCAGGCAGACTGACAAGCGGTAGGAGCTGAGCTTTCCCCCTGGACTGCTGTTTCCTGCTGTGTTCAGGGGAGGGGGGCGCTTTCTGGCAACTCTGCTGCTGCTGCTGCTGCTACCTCAGCTCCCTCTCCACTCAAGGTAAGCAGGCTCAGAGGGAGGGCAGGCTGCAAAGGAAGCCTTTGTACCATGAACAAGATCCGAAAGTTTTTCCGAGGAAGTGGGCGAGTCCTAGCATTTATATTTGTAGCTTCTGTCATCTGGCTGCTGTTTGACATGGCAGCTCTCCGTCTCTCATTCAGTGAGATCAACACTCGGGTCCTGAAGGAAGACATCGTCCGGAGGGAGAGGACAGGGTTCAGGGCTCAGCCAGACCAAGTGAAGATCCTTTACAGCAGCATAAAAGAGATGAAGCCCCCACTGAAGGGACATGGGAAGGGCGTGTGGGGAAAAGAGAACTTTAGAAAGACTGAGGAGAGTAAGCTCAAGGTTGAGGATGATTTGGACCAAACCCAGAAGGAAAGAAAAATGCAGAATGCCCACGGAAGGGGCAAGGTTGCGCCTTTGTGGCGTCCTGTGTATCTGCAGACCCCCTCAGTGACTTCTACTAAGTGGAAGACAGAGGGGCGAGACATCAGACCTGAGAATTCCTCTCACCATGTGACACCAAAGCAAACGACAGCTCAGGGGGCTCAGAAAACCCCATTCATAGCAGCAAGGGGAACTGCATTGCCCAAAATATCTACATACACAGGACCTGTCGGTATAAACCAGGAGGCCCTGAAGAGTCATCATCTCAGCAGTGGCCCATTGAAACAAGCACCTGAGAGGAGCCCAAATGTGACCATCAGTCTTAAAATAGACAGATCAAAGCAGCAATCCCAGGCAGTAGCACATGAAAGGACATCCCCTGCCAGCCCACCAGTGCCAAAACCCAGGGAAGCCATAGCCTTAAATAAAACTGAGACTCAGAGCAAAGAACTAAATGCAAATAAACACAAAGGCAGTAAGAACCTTCCCTTTTCCAAGTTCATTGCCAATTCAAGTCGCTTAAAGAAGCAATCTATTAATGAGACACAGTTCGGAGGCTTGCCAAAGCGTGACGGAGCCAAAGTGGCTGATGGGAAGAAACTCAATTTGTCTGAAAGCCATGTTGTGATTATAACCAAGGAGGAGGAGCTAAAGACAGACACCAAAGAGGTCCCCAATTCTAAAACCAAAACTGTGTTTCCTGTAGAATTGGGTGAAAGCCTAGGGAGTCACATTGCCAGGAATAGAAGTGAGGCATTTTTCTCTTCAGTTGCTCTACAGAGAGCAGTAGTGTCTCAAACCAACCAAGGCTTAGCTGGGGGGCTTGAGCCAACAAGAATTAACTTAACTGCCAAGGCCCAGCCTGCACAACTCAACAAAAGTCATATAAAAGCCCTTTCACCGGAAGACCATGGAATGCACCGTGTGTTAAGAATTGATGTGACACTTTCTCCAAGGGACCCCAAAGCTCCAGGTCAGTTTGGACGTCCAGTAGTTGTTCCCCATGGAAAGGAGAAGGAGGTAGAAAGAAGATGGAAAGAAGGAAATTTCAACGTCTATCTCAGCGATTTGATCCCAGTGGACAGAGCCATTGAAGACACAAGACCTGCTGGGTAAGAGCCATTTCTCTTCTCTTTCCTCAGCCCCGAGTATTTGGGGTCTTATATAGACAAGGTTTATTTCTAATTTTGTGTAATTTTTGGTCACCTAGAGAATTAAAGCAACAATAATCGTTAGACACAGTCCAAACAGTCTACCATCCACAGAGAGAGATACTTCAGTAGCAGCTCACCAACTGCACTCTCTTTCTACACTTATTTCTCTGAGATGTTGGCCCTAGCCTCTATTAGCTCATGTTCCATTTCCTTTCCTCTATTGAAAACCTATTAAAATGATTAGATGAACTCAATTTCTAATAAGGTATACATGAATGGTAGAGCTTAAAATGTAATTCCATTAAAACAGTGACAATGAAGTGAATTCCCAGTTTCAGAACTTATTATTAGCAAGTTTTTCAGGAACATATTTAGGAAAAGAACACAGAGAAGGAGGCTTCTTGGCCTCTCTGGAATCATATCTTAAACAGCAGAATTCTGCCTAGTCATCAGTAATGATCACCATAATGGCAAATGATGTGACTCTACTCCCTAGAATTTAATATCCTTTATAGGAAAGGATGGTAGATATTTCAGGAGTTCAGTGATACAGGAATAATAATGTTGGAAAAAAATCAATCAACCAATAAGAAGCAAACACCTGCAGGACATACAAGCATATAATAGTAACTATTTATATTTCTAGAGTTTCATCATTTATGAAGCACCCACAGACAAGTCACATGAACTTCATAGGAACCCTACAAAGGAAGCAGATGATATTATGGGTTCAAATTAACAAATAAGGACCTTTCCCAAGGCAGCATGGCTCTAAAGCTGCCCAATGAGCCTTTATGGACCAGTTTTTAAAGAGTTAAATTCTGTAACTACATCACAAGAAGGTAGATCAAGTCACAGACATTTGATCTGATTCAAGTACAGTTGATTTCTGGCTCTGTTTGGCCCACACATAAGTGAGGGTATCTTGCAGCCATACATTCATTAGCAATTCACTGCTAATACAACTCCACGTACACCTTGGTATTCAATCCATGAGCCAGACAATGTGTGCCAGGAAGTTGGAATTAGGGAATGTCAAGATTCAGACTTAGCACACGTGGTATGTACACAATGACCTTGTTTGGTTTCTGTAAAAAAAACAAACCTTCTTTGTGATCTGGGTGGTCAGTGTTACTAGGAGGAAGTAGATACAGATGTGCCTGTATTCATATTGGTAAGAGGAGCCCCTTGTGATGTTAGCCACTTTCAGCTCTTAGCCACTGGCAAGTGGTTTTCAGCCACGCACTAACTACCTGTGTAGACCAAGCTCTGTGTCATTCATGTTTCTCAACCTGGTGAAACTCACGGCCTTGAGGAGAACAAAAATATACCTACCTAAAATAAAGATGAAGAGACTGACACCCTGGGAAGTTATATTGTCTGTGATCATAGAGCTAGTAATTGTAGAGAAATTATTAAAATCCATGCTCAAAATTATGTTATGGTGTTTATTTCCCATCTCTTCCAATTACCACCAAAAAGGATCCACAAAATTATGTTGGACCAACTCCAATATGAAATCCTGTATATCACATATCATGTGTATGATGTATATTTATGATATCCTATATCACTATATATATACTCACTACACATGGCATATCCAAAAATCCAGTATATGGCAAATACCATACATGCCACACTGTGTATGGCATATTACTATACATACCCTGTATAGCATATACCATACAGCCATATACTATGTATGCCAACTTTGAACACAAAATGCCAGAGAATGAAGTAGTAAAGTAGCTTTATTTTAACATCCCTTCCATGGCCTGGCAGACTGCTACAGGGCTTGGGGGAAGAATCAGACGCTGCACAGAAGCACAGGCTGCAGTTCCAAACCAGAGAAAGGGCAATTGTGTGAGAGCCAAAAGCAGGTAATAATAATGTTATCGTCCACGTGATTTATTGAAGGCTTGATGGCTCTTAGTGCTTGTTACTTTCTGAAATTTGGTCTGTGAAAAGTAAGAGCTCCTGCCCAGGAGCGTTACAGTCAGGCTCTGTCTTCTGAAGGAGGCTGTCCAACGGTAGGAGAAAGTGACACGTGTGCTTGAGAGGATGAGTCAGACAGCGTGTGGCCAGGTCCCCTCCCTCTTATCACACAACCCACCTTGGCTAAATATAGGTGCTCCTGGCAAGCTGCCTACCTGATGCTCTACTCTACCGAAGGAGGGGACAGTTTAGCCACCAGGGAGCCTATGTACAGAACCCCTTTGTGCCACTCTTACTGGAAAGAGAATAAATTATTTTTTTTTCTTTTACCTAAACACTCTGACTACAAATATGTGCAAATTATGTGTTTCTATGGATAAAGGTTGGGAGAAAATACAAATGAAAAATATTTGACTCACCAAGTTGGCATGATTTAAAGTTCTCTTACTTTGATTTTTTTTTCAGCCTTGCTAAAAAAAAAGTATATGAGATGCTTGTAAGAACATACACAATGAATTTTTTAAGATAACAAATTTAAAAAGTCAGCATGGAGAGGAATTGTTATAGAATATAATAAGAATACATGTATGAGAGAGACATGTAAGAAAGAAAGAAAGAACTATAAGAACACAGAAGGACTGGCTTTAAGATAAACTACAGTAGCAACCCACTGAAAACTTTACATTTTAAGAGTTCTAGGGAGTATCTCCCTTACTGCTTTTTTCATTTCCCCCAAATCCATCTTAACGGACTGATTAACACAGTAACTGGCATATCACAACTGGCTGCTGAATAATACATTGAACCAAAGCAAGGTAAAAACCATAGATTTGCTAGTTATGCTTGTTTAAATTCAGTT